CGTGGTGAGTTACTTATTAGCAGTAGCGAAAGTGATCAATTGCTAAGAGAACTTGAGATCTGTGTATTACCATATGCCTTTGTATTTTAAGCACCGTTAGAATCTGTTTATCTGGGTTGTGTTTATAAAATGAATGGATTCCTGTTGTCTTCATGAGGCTTGTGATATAACACAGTTTATTTATATTATCTTGATATGGCTTTACACGAGCCGAATATGTTGGCTTAGGTAACTACCAAATTTCTACTGCGATAAGAAGATTCGTGCATCTTCTGTGTTTGCTATGTGAACATTTATGAGCTATGACAATTTAATTATCACTTTACTAATATATTTTATTTTTTTTGTGTTCGAAAATTATATCATGGTTCTGAAAACCGAACCGGTGATACCTGATACCCTTGGGACTTCCCCTAGGAATTGGTAGATCTAAGAAGGAGTCTTTTGAGTTTGTTCTTGATGCTGTGAGGTCCAAACTTGTTAGTTGGAAAAATCAGTTCCTATCTTGTGCTAGATAGGAGGTGCTAATGAAAGTTGTACTGAGTGCTTTTTGCCAATTTTTTCCATGTCATGCTTCTGCTTACCAAAAGCATCTGCAAGGAGATCTCTAGACTATCAGTTGCATTCTGGTGGAGCATGGGAGAACAAGAAGCAGGTGTGCACAGAAAATCTTGGAAGCACAATACTTTACCAAAGGATGTTGGGGATCGGGGCTTTAGGGATGTGGATTTATTCAATGATGCCTTTATTGTGAAACAAATATGGAGGTTTGTAACACATCCCAATTTGTTGGTTACTAAGGTGTTGAAAGGGAAGTATTATTCTGATTGTTCTGTACTTCAAGCTAGAAAGTCTTATAATGTGTCTTGGTTATGGAGAAATTGGTTGTTGGTGATAGATAAATTCAAAAAGCATTTTAGAGTGGAGGTGAGGAATGGGAGAGATGTTCACATCTGGAATGACCCTTGGATTCCAGAGGCTGAACATGGTTTGCCCAAAAGAAATGAAGTGGGTTTAAGGACAGTGACAGGAGTTCGTGAGTTATTGGAGGAAGATGGTAGAAGCTGAAACATAGAACTGTTGCAGAAATGCTTCAATCAAGAGGATGTAGAGGCTATCCTGAAAAGTAACACTCTGGATCCGTTATTGACTGACAAATGGTGGTGGGACTTGGATGTTAAAGGTAAATATTATGTCTGAAAACTCATATGCTACCTTAGTTCTGAATAAGCTAAGAGAATTGGATGTTGCTGAGTGTAGTGATAGTGCCAAGACATAAAAAAAATAAAATAAAATAAAAAAAAATAGGGTAAGAAGTTGGGGCCTTAAAGTCAAATAAAAGCTGAAACATTTTCTTTGGAAGTGTTATACAAACACCATGCCTGTGAGAATCTAAGAAAGAGAGGACTTGATATAGATCCAAGATGCCAATTATGTGGTGAAGAGAATGAGATTTTGGAGCATGCTATGTTTCTGTGTGAAAGAACAAAAAAAATCTAGAAATTGGCACTAATTTACTGGCAGAAATTGGGTGGTGCTGGGCATTGTAAACACTGGTGGTGGAATGTTTGTTCAGTTGATAGAAGAAGTGTATCTGAAGATAGGATAGAGCTTACAACTTACATATTGTGGTGGTTATGGAAGTCCACAAATATTTGAAAATTCCAAACCGCTAAGATGCCAGAGACTTCAATGATCACTTCTGCTCTTGGAGACTGGATGGAATTCACACATAGCAGGGCTGTTAGAGAGAAACAGTGAAGAAATTATCGGTTGCTAGGTCTTAATTGTTCAGTGGTAGCTGTGTTTTTTTTTTCTGATTGTTCTTCTAGTATTTCTTTGTGTGTCTTCATCTTCATTCAGGTGGTTAATTATCTTATTGGCAATTATAGGTGTCGAGTCAATCTTGCCCGTAAGTCTGTTACTAGCTTAGCATTAGTATTTGTATTGGATACCTGAGTTTAGATCATCTGTGAATGGTCTCTGTGATGTTTATTTGGAACTATTAGAGCTATTTGTACTCCTGGGATGTATTGTTATCTTTTGTTAAATTGAAAATCTTTTATTGTTGTGGAAAGAAAAAAAAAAGCTAGAAGACGAGGGCTAGAGTCTTCACAATATAAACGCATTAACAACTAAAACTAAAGAAGTGATTGTCTAAGTGAAATACGTCTTACCTACTGAAACCGTAAAATAGGAAAATAACAACTAAGGAAAAAAAGGGTTAATTGGAGATTTATCCCCAATCTCCTTTTCATTTTCTTGTTTAGTTCCTAAGTCTTTTTCTTTCACTTCACTCCCTATCATAATTCTCTCTTTCCTCACAGCTACACATATATATGTATCAAGGAAATAAATAGCTCGCTAAAGTTGCCGCTATTTGAGAAATAGCTTTTTTTGGCAGCGTGCCGCTATTTGTATTCATGTGCAATTTAGCCGCTAAATCCCGCTAAATCTCCGCTATAGCTACAGTGCCATAAACGTTTTAGCCCGCTATTTAAAACCTTGATATGTATATATATATATATATATATTATTAACCATTTAATTTAATTGTAAAGCATAACAAGTTGAAAAAATATCTTATCCCTCGTCTATACTTTCACTCCGTATCTGAAAAAAATATCTAATACTTTGACTCCAGATCTAAAAAAAAAATCGAATATGGGTCGTCGGTTTGGCCATCGGGCATGGTCGCAGTTAGAGACACGGATGAAATCATCAACAGCGTGGTCGCTGGCCTGGATACTGGGGCGCACTACAAGGCGGCGGTGGGGTCGAGGTCCGTTGCCGTAGCTAGGGCCATTGGAGGTGTGCTCGTAGGGCTCGCCGTCACCGAAAAACAGGCTATGTATAAGGTCTTGTACTTCCCTCATAGTCTTAGTAGCTTTGGAGAAAAGTACTGAGGCTATGTATAATGTATGTTGGGCTTGGTCTTGCACAATTTCATTGTAATAGTTCATAAAAGGCTGGTGTATAGTACTTTCATCTTGAATTCCTCGCATCAAAGTTCTGTAATTGCATTTAGACAATGTAATCAAAAGTCTAATGTTGAAAATATTTTTACCGAAGTAGAATCGAAAGATTCGACACCGGGTCGTAACTCAAGGAAGGTCAGCCGGAATAAATTGCACGACTATTCAAACACACGAAATAAGAAACAAGTCCTAAACACTCTAATTCAAATTGATGGTTTTTGATTATCAACTACGAATTCTAAATAAATTGAAAAAGCAAACGAATTATCAGTTCCAAACAAAATTCAAATGGTGTTGAAGAGGTTAGGGAATCGGAGATACTCGCGTATGGTTCTAACACAAAAATAAGTGCGTGACCGCTTGGTTAAGAGATCTAATAACTTACTCGCTTAGAGGTTTGTTCTCAATAATTATTCGTAACAAGAGAACAAACATAAACAATTCATTATCTGAACAATCAACGCATAGGCAATACATTAACAAACAAGCCTATTCTAGACGAGCCACGTTCAACCAATTTCTCCCCTTTCGATTCTACAAATTGATTAATTTGATTAGAATGGTGATCAAGCATCTAACCCTAGATTAAGAACAACTCAAATAGATTGAACGGTAAGCAAACATTCATGAATCACAAACGAACCAACACGAATATCTCCTATCCCCAACAAACGATTTAGCTACTCATTGTAACTTGAACACAAGAAATCATAATAATCCAAACACAAAACATCATAACAAAATGAGAAAAGGTGCTTACGATTAATTAAGAAATCCAAATGTCGAACACGATAAGCAATCTAAATCCAAAAGCAAAATCTTAAGGTTCTTCACCTTACAAGACTTGATCCAAACCAAAAAGAAGAAAAAAAAAAGAGAGAGAGAAAATGGTTTTCGTCCAAAGAGAAATTTTAAATTACAAAAGTACTGAATGTTTTCAAGCCCTAGGCCAAAACATAAAAATAGCCCGTCGTCAGATCTGCCTTTGAATTATCGGCGCCGCGGTGCGAAGAGTGATCACGGTGTGGGGGAGGAGCGCTCCGCGGCGCGAGGGGGAAGCACGGCGCGACAGAGGGGTGCTTCGCGGCGCGACGGGTAGGGCACGGCGCGGCAGGGTGGCATTTCGTGGCGTGGCAGGTGACACGGCGCGACTTCTGGAAAGGTCGGACTTCTCTGTTGCTTTGTCGCGGCGCGGGAGTCTCATGAAGGAATTCTACCGCGGCGCGAGGCTGGAAAAACTGGTGCTTGGGATTGAAATTCTGCACTTAATGCAGTTACTCGAATAGCTCCAAATGTGCGATGAAGAATCTGATTTGCACACCACCTAAGACAAAAGAACAACACACGAAAACAAACAAGACAACAGAAAATATCGAAAATGAGAAATAAACGACTAACACGCGAAAAGAACGACTGACGGACCAAAAAGACTAACAAATTCCTAAACTTGGGGGTAAAAACTAACAAATAAACAAAGAAAATGATAACAAAAATAGGACAAACAACTCCCCCACACTAAGACTTTTGTTCGTCTCGAACAAAAAGAAAAGAAAAGAAAACAAGCGAACGAGCAAGTACAATGGTTCTAATCAAAACTAATCTCAGACCAATCAATCAAATCAAGAAGAATTCAAATGATCACGAGAACACACCTCAACGATTAACTCAGTTATTTCGAATGACAAAGACTCTCGAGAACGAAGATATATCATATGCCTCACTCAGTTTCTTTCGCAAGTATAAGATAGGTGCACTCAAGTTGGTCGTCAACCAATTCAATCATAAGTTTGCCTATTGTCTAACTTTTACTCTGAAACAATCAAATATGTGAAACGATGAATCAATAGGACTTCTAAGGATATAA